ATGAGCTTTCCTGGAGGCTGACATCTTGACTGGATCATTAGCACCAAGACCCAGCCCCACCCCACTGCCTGTAGGGGAGCCTCAGGCCAAACAGTAAACTTGGTGGGAGCACAGCCCCAGCCATCAGCAGACTTCCTGAGCCACAAATGCCTCTAGACACACCCCTACCCACCAGAGGACCAGGACCAGGCTCCGCCCAGCAGTGGGCAGACACCAACTCCTCCTGCCAGGAACCCTGCATAAGCCTCTAGTCCAGCTCCATCAACCAGAGGCAGATACCAGAAATAAGAAAACAGCCATCCTAAAGCCTGTAGAAGGAATCCACACAGGCCAGACTCTACCCTGGGACCAGCTGGACCCCGGCCCTTGGGTGATGAGAGAGGAGTGCACTGCTGGGACACACAGGACGTCTCCCACTGAGGGCCACCTCTCCAAGGTCGAGAAGCATAACTAGCCTACCTAAAAACACAAATATAAATCTAGACAAGACGAGGCGGCAGAGGAATATCTCCCAGGACAAGGCACAAGATGAAATCCCGGAAGAGGAAATAAGGGTTGAGGAGACAGGCAATTTATTGGAGAAAGAGTTTAGAGTAATGATGGTGAAGATGTTCAGAGAACTCAGGAGGAGTACAGATGCACAGAGCGAAGTTTTTTAGCAAAGAGTTGAAACATATAAATAATCCCCAGACAGAGCTGAAGAATAAAATCACTGAAATGAGTAACACACTAGAAGGAACTGAGCACAGACTAAATGAGACAGAAGAACGGATCTGTGAGCTAGAAGACAGGTTAGTGGAAATCACTACTGCAGAGCAGATACAAGAATGAAAAGAAATGAGGACAGTTTAAGAGAACTCTGGGACAACACGACCAGGCCCACCCGTGAATGACGAGAAGGAGGAAGCGAACACGTGCCCTCCAGGGTCTGGCCACAACCAGGACTTTACCCCTTCCACTCCAATACAAAAGAAGCCTGAACTCAAACTCCGGGAAGACGTCTGCTAGAGGACACCAGTCCCCCATCTTCTCGGGCTGCTGGCTTTCCCAATAAAGTCGTTATCTGTTGCCCCAGCACCTCCTCTCCCGATGTACTGGCCTGTCACGCGGTGAGGAGGAGTCTGGACTCGGTAGCATTTGTGCTAGAGCTCTGAGTCCTGTGCAAATAAGTATTCAGGGTGTGAATACTCACATTTATCCAAAATGTGCAAATGGTGACATTTTATCAGGTTGGTTTTTTTTTTGGTCTAAAGTTGCAAGGTTCTACTAAATCGTTTTCATATTTAATGATATTACTGCCTTGAAAATGAGGAATATTATGAATGTGAAGCCCTGGCAACCCGCCTTGCATTGTGAGCTCCCATTATTTCATCCCACTTTCCTCATGATCATTTTTCGCACATTTCCATGTATTAATTATGTTCACACTGATGGTCTGAAATAACCTCCGTCAAGCTCATTATATATTTTGATGGAAAAGCACTTAAATCTAAATGCCAATTTACATTTCTCTCTCTAAAATAGACTTTTAACGACTGTTAAAGACTTTTCCCCAAATAGACTCTGATTTTGACATTCTGATTGAATTTTAGATTTTTGTCCCACATACACACACACACAGAGCAAAAATAAGCCAAAAAAGTGGCTGCAATGACAAGGTGTCTCGCCCGATTATTCATGGCTTAAAACGTGAGTGACTGTTTTGTGTCCTTTTGTTGATGGGTTGAAAACTGTCTTCCGTGAGTGCCGGGAACTGTGGGTGAGTCCCAGAGAGACAGAGGTGACTTAAGGACACCTAGCGTTTATCTGTATCTGTATCTCTGAGTGTAGGAAGTTCAAGGGCTAAACGTGCTGGAACATTAAGCAGGATGTCAGCATTTCTTCTGTGTGAAAACGAAGGCATGAGTCTCCTATTTTGCATTGTGGATCATGCTCCAATTAGGTCCCTTTTCTTCTGATTACTCTTCAGTAAACTCTTTGCCGAGCATCCAGTTACTCCAGAATATAGTGCAGACTGCTTAATGCTGTCCTCAAGGACCTGCAGAGTGTAGCCTCTGCCTAACTCCACGGCCACATCTGTGTCCCCCTCCGCCATCCCTGCCACGCTGCAGCCACATCCCCGTGTTTCTCCAGGGATGCCCCGTACCTCCCTCTCCTCACCACACCATCTGCTCACATACCCTCCCCTCCTGCCTGGGATGCCTTCCTCCCCTCCACCACCTGACCAGCTCCCACCAGCTCTCAAGTTTCTGCTGAAACGGCGTCTCGCCCTGACCTCCCAGTATCTTCCAAGGGCCGTGATTTTAGGCTGACGTTTCTAAAGGTCTAATTAAGATTTCTAATTGTTCCCCAAGCAACAGACAGTTTTGTCCCCAGGCTGGTGGGAACCAAGAACAAAGAGCAGGAGAGCAAGCACATTTGGATTCTTTAAATGCTTTTTGTATCCTTTTCCCAATCCTGGGTCCCCAGAGAACAAAGTCAAAGAAATGAGAACAGAAAGAGACAAAGGATGGAGTTGATCACAGACGAGCCAGCAGATCCAACAGCGGAGAAGATGAGTAAGGTGTTGTTCATGAAACACAGCAGGGCGATGGTCCAAGAGATGCCCCCACCTGCGCAGTCCCCAGTCCCTGCGGCCCGAGCGGCCTCCCCTCGCGGCTCTGCGCGCTGGGCTCCTCCTGCGAGCACTGATGCCCTGGGAACCCTCTTGGTCCAACTTGTGCTCAGCATTTTTGCCAATGCCCTTCCGTTGTTATTTTAATTCATTTACGGAAGTGACGACTGTGTGTGCATGCCTGCGAACATACTTTAACTTCGTAATTTTCATGCACAATACTCCATATTCACAAAGGACATTTTCACTCCATTTCTGAAGCTTCTGAAATATAACTGGCGATACTTCCTTTGAGGAAGCCACTGTGCTGGAGACAGACCTCAGTCTACAGTTTTCTATCAAACGTCCCCTCCTTCCCTTAGTTTGCAGCATCCTGAGCATCAGCTATTTAGTTTTCTAAGTATGCGTTTGATGTTGTTTCCTCCCAGTAGTCTGTACGTTTTATGGCACGTGGTGCTGTCTTGCTAGTTCATTGCTTTATTCTCACTGCTTGGAGCGTAACAGATGCTCAATAAATACTAACCAAATGATAAAATAAAAACGGGGAGGTGTTGGAGGGTGGAGGAGACAAAGAAGTATTTCAACTTGCATTTCCTTATTAGCTCTCGGCCTCGACACTAGGTGCTCCTGAGACTCTAAAGGACCATCTTCTCTTGCTCCACATCACCAAGTGTGGATTTTAATTCCCTGGTCATGCACTTAGTTAAATGCTCTATAACTGAAAGAAATAAGCCACTCATTTTTGTGACTATGAAGGAAATACTTTAAATATCGGTTTTCAAATTTGAATACAAGATCTTTTAGAAATTCTAAGTTCTTTTTTTTTTTTCTCTAAAACATCCAGGCCATGAAAGTTAATTGCATCATCATTTGCAGATACTGAAAGAGTCCTTTGATAGACATTTCAAATAACACAGTGACCAGCAGATAGATTCTGGGTACTTCTTTGAAATGCATAGTGGAAAAAAATTGTCTTAGAGTAGGAAAGAAAAATTTTCAGTAGAAAAACTGACCATGGAGACTCACCCATGGGACTACAGACTGCGTGCCGGGGCTGCCCTTTGAGATGAGGATGGAGAATTTTAAGCATGAACTAAGCAAACGGCAAATTACAGCAGTATTTTTGGTTCGCTGAAGACGAAGAAAAATGTTATCACTGGGGCTCATTTTTAAGTTTCTGCCCACAAGTTAGTCTGAAACTTACAAAAAATAATTTGTCAGTTTTAAAACATCAAAATGAGTCATCAAAAGACATCCAGATAGAGGTCTAAAAAATTAGAGAAAGAAGTTGGTGAACTGTGTGAGTTCCCCTGTTTGGTCCAGCTGACGGTTCTGTGGCAGAGAAAGGCACTCCCTGTGAATGGGCAAGAAGGACCCAGACAGGATGCTCAGGGTCCTGGGTCAGCTCTCCCTCCTTGCCTTGGGTGGGCACCTTTGTGCAGTGCACAAACCACACAACTGTACACAGGCTGTGGCTCTGCTCAAGTTTGAAGGGAAAGATCCCTATTGAGCCTTGATACTTTCTTCACATATTTATTCCCTTCTAATTAGCTCAAGAGGCAGTTTAAAAAACGGTGAAAGACATGGGCTTTGCCGTGAGAAAGAACTACACTTAAATCCTGAATATATCATTCGCTGGCTCAGTGATCATTCAGTCCCCTCTGGGCCACTCCAGCTACACTACTGAAATGACAGAACAAATTACTGATGAAGACACTAAGATTTAAATAAAATGAGATATACTGTGCTTAGCACATGCTTTGGTACACAGTAGGTGCTCAGGAAACGACAGTTGCTGCTATGCTGTGTGTGTGTGTGTTTTAAGCAGGTTTAATAAGGCGATTTTTAAAAGGGAGGCTGCCTGTCTCAATCTGACTACACCGATCAAGCCACGCCCCACAGAACTCTAAACAACTGGTGGCAATATGTTGACTTTTCAAATAAATGAGTTAAGATATTTTCTTGAATACTTATTTATGTACAAATAATTAAGTAATTCAATGAGTGGCCGCTCTTTGTTGACTTTCAACAAAACCAAAGATATAACAAATGCTCCCTATTCATGAAGGGACCTGGATATCAACCGGTCATAAAAAAAAAATGCAAAATATACTTAATCCAAAAGGGTATATAAACTGTGCACTGAGAAATGTCCACCTGACTTTTCACACTTCTGCAGATATGACAGCTGCTTTTATTTTAAAAATGTATTTTATCATATCCTCATTTTTTCCATGAAATGAAGTTCATTTCACACACACACACACACTGCTTGTGTAAAGTAACCAGAACACACAAACAAAGGTGGTAGATGGGGGGGCTGGTCCTTTATATTTTAGTCCTAGCTTCACAGGCAGTTATTTTGCAAATGGATTTCAAAAAATAATTACATGAATCAAAATTCCATTTATTCTCCTACATCAGTATTGATCTCACCTACACTTACCAAATTTATACCCTGCCCCCTTGAATTGCCTGCCTCTCACTTCTGTAGGCTGAGGACTTACGCATCCACAAGCCACAAATATGCTCAGAGCCCCCCTTTCAAATAAGATGTCTGTGAAGCCCAAAGACAAAGCAGCAGGAGTCAGATTCTTTTTTTTTTTTTTTGTCCCTGTTTCTCATTAGACTGGCTCATGAAATTCTGTGGTCCACCCTAGTTTTCAATTTACCTTTGCTGTTGAAGCACATGATAATCACACTACATTTTGTTCTCTGCACCTTGATAAATTGCATCATGTGACACTTCAAAGCACGAAAATGAAAGGACAACTAAGATTTTTAGAAGCAGCTTAAAAAAAGTGGCATGAGCTATCCGTGAAGTGTCTACAATTCGATGAAAGAGAGAAAATAAGTAATAAATATGAGAAAGGTTGACATTTAGGGGAACATGAGGAGAGAAAACAGCTAATTCTTTGTATGATGATTGGGATTTTGCTGTTAGTCTAAAATGATTGTAGGATTTAAAAAATGCTTTTTAAAAATGCCAGGTAAGATTTTAAATGATGATGACCCCAGATCATTTAAGACAGTGGCTATGTGGTGCGATTTTTGAGGAACGGGGGAGTTAATGAGACTCTCAGATAACGTGCCCAATATACACCCAAGAAGACAACACTGCACACCAGCACTTAGCCATCTTTAAAACACCTTCATCTCTGCAGAGTCAATCCTGGTTAAGACCCCAAAAAACTCCACAATCCAACACCAGTCTTCCAAGTCGCCAGCAGCAAAATACAATAAGATAAAATACGAAAGGAAATAAAATACGAAGGCTTTCAAATCAGCGTGGCTTTGAACACAATTCCAGCCAATAAGAATAGATCAAAGAGAAGCAACCCAGCTTTGCAAAGTGGTGAGGTGACCTCACTCAGGTCCTATCAACGCCTTCTTCCCAGTTACCGGGCGCGTTACTCAGCTCGGCCGTCTCCAGGGAGCCCACCGGGTGGCCACGCTCCGCGGGACTGCGGTCCCCTCACGAGTCTCCCGGAGGACAGGGCCACCTGGCATCACACAGGGACGGCGGGGGGACCAAGCGTGCCCTCTGCAACGTCCCTTAGTCCTGTTCCCATCTCAGCATCGTGGCATTTTATGACTTCCCGTGAGAGGCCGTTCCAGTTACTCTCACAGCTTATCTAGGTTTCTAGGAGGAAAAAAAATCCATTTGAAAGTTCCCTTCCTACCCCATTTCCCCTGGCAGTAGATTTACTGAGGAATACATTTTACCTTTACATGTTTATTTCGGAGGAAAATCTACTGGCTAGACATTTATTTTCCACGTAGTTCCCTGAGAGAGACCTGCACCAACAGGAAGCATATAAAATAGTGTAGGATAAATTGGGGCGCCGAGATAAACACGCTCTTCAGTTCTGATCTCCTGACCTATTTTTAAAAGCTAAGGAAAGAACAAATTCTCTTCCGCCTCCTAAGTAATTCCATGGGAATGCTCAGGCCAGTGGTGAGTTACAGCATAAAGCGGCAATCTTTCTTCCTGGAAGCGAAGTTCAGCTTTGTAAATTTCCAGAAGACGACTGAAATTATTCTTGACCGGGAGCAAAAAAATATTCTCTTTTGCCAGCTCAGTGTTGGCAGCCCCTGTCCTACCTTGGACTCTTGTACTATTGAGAGGATCACTCTGTTTTCAAGATTGCTTGATTTTCTGAAAGTTTTGTATATAAAAGAGAGAATATTTGACCTTTCAAACTCTTCCATTGCCTGATGGTATGGAATGATCACCTTTTGAGGAGGGAAACTGGGAATCGTTCAGAATACAATTTTAGTATCATGAAGAGAATGGATGGTAATTTATTCCAAGGAATACATTCACCTAAAAAACTATCCATCGCAGTCAATTCTAGATGTTCCATGAACAGCACGGTAACTCCAAGTGAAACTCCAAGATAGTCTGAATCCTCCTTTTACTCCTTTCTTCTTGCTCCCTGTGTTCCTTTCTGCCACAGGGCCTTTGCATGTGCTGTTCTCGACTGCATACAATAATGCTTTATTCATCTTTTCCTTATTTCTTTTCATGTACCTATATTTAAGCCTTACTGACAATGCAAAGAACTGAATCAACAGAAAGGGCATTTATTAATTTAACAGGAAGGGGCAGTACTTTGTTGGCATTTGGAATATAGGGATTAGCTGGATAAAGGCTTTGCAGGCAGCAGAGGAGATAGCCACAGACCTGAACTATATTCCAGCATGGTCAGCACTTGGGTAGAGGCACACAGGAATGGGAAGCAGGTGACATGGTGTTTAAGAGCAGGTGTCCTCGAGTTTAGTCCTATTCTATCACTTACTAGCTGTGTGACTTTGGACAAGTCACTTACCTTCTCTGGGCCTCAATTTCCTCACCTGAAAAATAAGGATGATGGTAAAGCTGTATCTACCTTAAAGGATTGCTTTTGAAGTAAATGAGGTCCCACATGTAAGGTGCTAAGAAGAAGAGCATTTGCATCCAGTAGGGTTTGTTCTTACTCTCAGTGGTACAGGAATCCAAGGAGTACCTGATAAATTCTATTAGAATTTGTCAGGAGACCTGACATTAGAAGGGCATTTCTGAGAGTACATCCATGCAGAAATCATGGACTTCCCTTCCAAACATCTTGACAGCACTAGAAGGCATTTACAGATTTCAAATTGCTAACTCATGACAACTGTACAGGTTCTAAGTTTCAACCCAATACTCTGCCTCAAGTTTTTTTTTTTAACTCACTCCTTATAGAAATTGTGACTTCCTATTTTAAACAAATGCCATAGAATCATCTCAGCAACTCCTCCTGAATGATCCTGCTTTTGGAGAAGATGTTCTCCAGCAACATGTTTGTTATTTAGGTGGAAAAACATCTGGAACGTAAGCCCTGAGTGTCCCTGGGCTGCACCTGGGCTTCAGAAGGAGGGGAGGTGGTGACTTAATTGTACCTGGAATGTTCTGAGACAGGCCACATCCTCAAACTTGTCGGAGGAACAGCTGACTGTGAAGTATGTCTGGCTGGATTTATTCGCCATGAATGATCACTGTCTCCAACTACTCCGGGACTTCCGACCACACACAGATCACTGTCAGTGACTTCTGGTCATGTACAACCAACAAAAAGTCGCTTATAGATCAAGAAGTAGGCAAATTTCAAATTCGCAAGTTCTCTTTTCCGGAATGTTCCATGCTACACAATACATGAAAGATCACAATGAGATTGTACTGAAGATGGAAGCTTCCTGCTGTTTCCAAAGTCTATTGTAAACATGGCAGTACAAACTAGAAAATCCTAAATATTTAAAACCTTAAGTTTAAATATTGGAATTTAAAGAACTTCAAACGATTTGCTATATTGGGCAAAAAGGCAGCCTTGGGAAGAGGGGGAATGGTCTAAATGATCAGGTGAGGATTCTAAAGAGACTGGAATGCAAGGTCTTTCCCTGTAGAAATGCCCAAAATCAAAGCAATACCATACATTTTTTTATTTTTCCATAAACTGATAACCTTTGAAATTACTGCTGTACATTTACGAATTTGCCAAGCATCACTTACAATGTTTTTAAAAAGTTAAAGTGTGGCTTTGAGAGAGGGCACCACAGGTTCATTGTTTTGTGATGAAGAAAAAGGAGATCTGAGTAAATGAAGAGCTTCAACAAGGTAGAAAGTGGCCATTTCCGGGATCTATGCGCTACTTTTTCACTCAGTAAGCACACTTACTCAGGGCCCACTACGCAGTAGGGTTTTATATACAGCATAGATGGGTTTCAGTCCTCTGGCAGTGTGCCAGGAAACAGATGACTAAATATTTGGGGATGACACAGCCCAAGAAGTGCAGAGAAGGAAGAGTACCAGGTGCCGTGGTGACCTTAGCGGGACCCAACTCAGCTCACGTGCAGAAGATGTCAGTTTACCCGTGACCTTGGGTGGATGAATCACTTTGCCATTGTGACACAGAAGGTTCCTTGGGGAACATGGCAAGAGTCATTCTCTGCTCAGGTGTAGAGAATTAGAGAATCTCTTAATATTTGAACAGTGCCCTGGATTTGGAAAGAATGATCCAATATCCCATCTGGGGACCTGGATCGGTTCGAGACACAGGGGAAGCTGGCGTCCAGAAGATCCTCAGAGCTCAGCGCACCCACTACAAGATCAGAGCTCCATCACTGTTCCTCAGCTGCACCTTCATTCCACAGTCAGCTTCCTACCCCTGGACTGGACCACTCTCCCTCCCCCAGCCCCCTCCAGCCCCCTCCACAAGAAAAGCATCACTCATCTCACACGGAAAGCTTACCACGCGCCGAGCACTGTGGCGCCCCCTGCAGCAGGCAGACAAGCAGTCAGAGCTGCTGCCACCTCCAGCTGTCTGTGCTCTCCACCATCCTGGGCACGGGACTCTGCAGTTCCTCTTGGAGGTAGAATGGACTTCCTGCTCCAGTGATATTGAGCTTGGTCGTGTGATTTGCTTCAGCGAAAGGAATATAGTGTTAAGTAATGACGTGCCACTTCCAAGCCCAGGCTTCAACAAACCTTGAATATATTCCCTTTATCTCGTGGTCCTCTGGCTCTGCTAGGGCAGCAGACCTGGACTAGACACCTGGCAGAGGGGAGGCATGCAGCCCGGTGACCCAGGCCACCTTAATACCAGCCAACACCTAGTAAATCTCCATCCTGTGGGGGAGAGAGTCCCAGGCCAGCCAGCCCCCATCTGACTGCAGACATGTCACTGAGCCAAGTACAGGCAGCAGTCAGGTCCAGTGACCCAAACCTCAGTGTCCCTTCTTCTTTTTTTTTTTTTTAACAGACTTTATTCTTTTAGAGCAGTTTCAGGTTCACAACAGAATCAAATGAACAGAAAATACAGAGAGTTCGCACAAAGCCCTCCCCACCCACACATATATACTGCCCAGTATATACTGCTCAGTGTCCCTTCTTAATGAGCTAAAATAGTGAACGGACTCTGACACTCAGTCAGAAACAAGTTTATTCCCCTGCAGAATAACCAGCTGGACAGGTGGATATCTACGCGAGCATCAGGGAAGGCTCTGTGAGGTCGGGGAACGGAGCCTGGCTGGAAGCCGCCGTGATTTCACAAGGTGACGGCACCGAGCCCCCCACGTTGCTCGGGGCTGACAGACGCGTGCTCCAGGAAGGCGCCCCTTCCTGGACCAGAAGCGTGGGATGGCTATTCTTTATTCTTCCATGATACACGGAAGAAATGCTTTCACTCCCAAGAAACAGGAGTTGGTTTTATTCTTTAGTAGAGACCAAGAAACAAACTGCACTCTCTCCAAGCAGTCACCTGTGGTTCATGCGTTTTTCTTATTTGCAAGGTTCCCTAGTAAGGCTTTCTTGATCTCAAGCAGTCTTGTTTTAAACGTGCAACAGTTGCTACTCCGTGTTGTTTGAACAGTTTGTCAAAGTGCAGACAAGAAGTTTCAGCATCTCTATCTGGTACGTCGTGGAGCTCTTCCGGGGCTTAAAGAGAAACGAGGGAACCCGGCTGCTGCCTGTCTGCTTTGCCAGGCCGGCAAACCTGCTGCGCTCCTTCCCCCAACAGCACAGCTGCGAGCGAGAAAACCGAACGCCCGCGATGCCTGAATCACCCGGAGCCGGCGCGTTTGTTCCGTTGTCAGTGACAATCGCCTGACATTTTTCTGATTTTCCATTCTATAAAAAGTTGGGAAAGTTGACATTCTTCTTTTGACTCATTCTCACAAAAGGAGAAGAATCCCTTAATAGGACTTTTTCCTGACAGATTCATGCCTTAAGTATAATTAAATAAGTGACAATAAAACATTGTCCTTAAAAGCTGTCTTGGTTAATGTGCACGCTAGTACTCCAGATAATCCTAAAAGGATTACATTATTACCTTATGATATCAATTACATTTTGTTTTTCTGCCTGGCATTATTTAACTTTTGTAAATCTATTTTGATACAAGAACATAATATTCTTCCCACGTTATCCAGCTAACACATTCTCATTGGGTGAGTATTTTTTATCTATCACTTCCCCTTCATTTCATTATTTAAAACTTCTTAACAATATTTGTTGCATGTTGACAATTTCAAAAATCACTTATGTCTGTATTTTATGCTTGAAATCATAATACATTTATATTCAAATGACTGATGTTTTATCATACGTAAAGCACACAAGAAAGTTTTCCACTTCAAGGTACATCTAGAATGTGCATTTATATCTGAAAGTGAATATTCATATATGAACAGTAGATCAGATTGAAATACCTTGCTCATTTTACTGCCCTGGTTGTGCTGTCTGGACATGACGGTCATGTATGTCAGCATGTGACCCTGACTGCCTCACCTGGAAGGATACCAGACGAGGTGTGAGACTGCAGGTGACAATTCAGCCCGACTTCTTCAAGGCCAGTGCTGAGGCGGATGCTAACCAGCCCATTTTGGCCAAGTATCTAAGCACCGATGTACCTCTGAACAGACTCTGTGGGGAGACAGATAAGTTCTAAGATCCGAAAAGATATATCCCAGAACACTTTGGGTCTCTACCTCGTATCTGGATACAGTTCACACAAAAACTTCAGAATCTTTTCCCACTTACTCCCACCGACTTCCAAAGCCAGGAATTAACACACACCTACCACGGTTACGGTCAGTCAAGCACTTGGCACACGGTGCTTGGCAAAATAACTAACATTTCAGAGAAAGAACGGAAAAGATGATCCAGAAAGGAGCATGAGGAACACCCTGGGGTGAGGTAATTAAGGACAGGATGAAATGGCTGAACAGAGGCCAAGGCACTTCCAGTCTTTCAGGGTCTAGGGTCTGGGGGGTTGGACCACCAAGCGTTAACGGCACAAAGACACTGTCAGGACCACCACTGGCCCGTGGGCGGGCATCGGCCGTGCCGAACGAAGCTCAGCAGACAGAGAAAGGCCAGGTCTCGCCCCAGCTTCGCCTCCTTGCACTTGTGCTCTTGCACAGTGGCAGGTACTATACAGCGCCAAACGCTGTGGAAATACAACAAAGAGGAGGCATGTCACACCACTTTGAAGGGATAGAGGGACTCTGAAGAAAGCTTCAGTTAAGCAGGCTGATTTTGGCGTCCTCAGGCAGGACCAGCAGCTAAGTCTTGATATGGATCTAGATAAAAAGAAAGTCACCTAATAGCAGTTCAACTGTTTCCTTTAAACTTTAAAAATTAACATACTTTGTGAACCTCTGGGAATCTCAATGACAAATTCATACACTGACTCCGATTGAAACCCGGGTTGGCATTACTTAAACTGTCACGAAATAACGCATATTCTATATTACAAAGCCAGGTGACTTCAAATAGGCAGTTTTGGAGTATAACAGAATCTCACATCTATGACTTAACAATACTCCCAGTATTGTCTGCTCTAAAATGAGAGTCGTGATAGAGTTTATGGAAAGATTCAAGGAGATAATGCAGACACAGTGGGGTCAAGGCTTAGAGCAACACCATGTGGAATTTAGCTTGTCTATTTCTACAGTGAATACAAACTTTTTTGCTGCTCCTATTTCCCTCGATGGCAGAAATAAATTCAAATTTTCCATCTACACGTAAGAAAGTCTCTCCTATTACAAACGGTCTCCTTTGAGGGTAAGATGAGTTTGCACTTCTTTCTGGAAGAGCTTTGCCTTCCTGACCGCCTTCCCAAGATGGTAACTGGGTGCGGGGGAGCCCACAGCTTCGTGCCGCCTCCTGTCTCCACGCTGTCTTTCTCCAGGGCTTCCACTGACTCGCGGGCTGGCCCCCAGGATGGTTAAGACTTGGTTACCCCACCTTGTGGCCGCGACATCAGGTCAGATCTGTCTCACATACAGATGCCAGGGACCGAGCAGGCACCCGACTCCTCACCACGGAGCCCCTCTCAGCCACTCGTCATCGTGACCTTGGCTTCCCTCTTGTGGTTCTCAAGAATCTCAGGCTTAACCTTTACTGTGGTACTGATCCTCCCAAATCTCTTTTTCCTCCCATACGAGGGCTTCTGCTTGCCTTTTCCCCTACATCATACCCTCCTTGGAATTCTTTATTCCAGGGCTAGCTCCCTCCTCCTTTCTTGCCCTGATCGTACTTATGACTTTAGGTACCAGTCTGGAGAAGGAAATAAAAGGGATTACCAAAAACCCCTGGGGAGTCCTGCACGGCTGTTACCCCATTCAATGCAAAAAGTACTCAGCACATTAAAATATAGCAAATAATCCACAGAAACAGTTACTGATCCAAGATCAAGAGGCAGAGTAAAGCCAAACCATGAAATCCTCCTGTTCTTACAACACAATAGGAAAACCCAAGCAAACAACGCGAAAACAGCTGACGTAGACTGGAAGCAGTCCAGAAGCGGTTGCTGACTCTCCTGCAGGATAGGAGTAGGATATTCTAGCTCTGGAATATTGACAGGGTTGGTTGCCAGTAAGGAAGGCTGAAAAGAGCAAAAAATCAGGACGGCTGAGTGTGGTAAGCAGAACTCAAAGTGCTAAATCCCACCCCCCTGCGTGAACGTGCATGCTTTCTGTAACCCCCTCTTTGCGCGTGGGGAGAACCTGTAAGTAGGCTGGCAGTTCACGCCTGTGATTCCGTTACTAGCCTGCTGACTTGGAGTTAATCAGAAGAGAGATGCTCTTGGATGGGTCTGACTCCGTCTAGTGGAAGAGGATGAGGCATCAGAGAAGAGAGTGCCTGATGACCAAAAAAAAAAAAAAAACAGACAG